GCTTTCTATTTTTTCTATTCTATCTACTTGTTTTTCTTTGTTTATATATATATATATATATATATATATATATATATACAAAAGAGCCACAATTGTTTTTTCATTCACACCTTGTTTATAGTGAATACAGTATAATTTTGTAATTTTTCCAGTGAGAAGCAGATGAATGAGTGACATTACAGCATAGTCCGGATAGGTGCTTGAGCTGAGAGATTCCTTACAGCGGAGTGAATCCCCTCTTATTCTAAATTTAGATGAGTGCCTTGAGAGATGGAGACAGCTGCTGGGCGCTGAGGTGTTGCGTGTAAGAGAAGGTCTCACACCATGTCCGTACAGCAAGTCAGCTACGACATTATACAGCTATTGTCTTCTAATATTGTGCTGCAAGAATTAATACAAAACCCGGAAATCAGTTCACATTTTTCCACTTCTGGACCCATTGTCTCGAAGTCAGTGGGTTTGCTGCTGAACACAATATAAACTGGAATTGATTTGTTTGGTGTTGTTGATTCTAAACGCTAAAATTCAGAATTTGTTTTGGGCAAGAGGCCACAGCAGAAGTGTAACTAGTGCTATAATCATTATTACAGATTGATCTGCGATTATGTTGAAAGCACTGTTTTGTTGAATTGAGTAGCATTAATAATGCAAGTTTGTGTAAATGACTGACTATTACTTAGACTGTTAAAGGTCACTTTATGGCATTTGGGCATTTAGGAAGTCATTCCAAATGTCTAATACAACTGCAGCAGTTTTATAAAAGTCTTCTGAAGCAATACAATCACTTAATACGACTATACCGTTAAAGCTCGTTGGATATTGTGTGTCATGTGACTAAACGTAGTGATGTAATGACATCACGCATGATTTAATAGTGAGTTCCCAACAATGCATAAACATTGTATTTAAGCATCTGTAGTTCCACAACTACTAATTTAAATCTTCAAAATAAAAATAAAAAGTAAACAGAATGTACTGTATATTTCCATGTTAAACCAAAACGGCTTGCATCCTTGAGACTCAAAGCACAAACACAGACGAGTTTATGTTGCGTTGTTCTCAGATGAGGCATGTTGAATTGACTCTCTTTATAATTGCTTTGAATATAACCAGTTATTGCACATGGGTAGTCATGATGAGTGTCGTGCTGAATTTATGAGGATATGCTGAATGCTGTTTCTGGTTACTGATGGAAAAAACTCCATTTTCAGGGATCATCAACTGATGATTTATACACATTTGTACATAATGCTGGACATTTCCACCACAACCAACAATGCCCTGTCAATTTTTTTTGTGTACTTGGATACCAAGGAAACAACAGCGTCAGCAAAGCACGTGCTTGATACCTGTGGTGTGTGTGAAGAAGAAAAATCAAGGTAAAAAATTAAAATGTGTCTTATGAGATGTGATATTAAATTTGTTTGATCAGGAAAAAAGACATCGGTGCTGGTTCTGTTATGGCGTTTTGAAGCCTGTCAGACTGTGAAACAAAAAAGACAAAGGAAGTATAGTGCCACTTTTAGGTGTACAGTAGGGCTGTGCGATATTGAAGAAAAATGCGATATGCGATAACTCATTAAATAATGCGATATTCGATATGCGATACGATAATGCTTAAAGTGCCACATGCTCAGATGAAACAGTTTTACTCAGCTGTTGCTGAGTCAGTTCTGTGAACTTCTATAACTATCTTGTGTCATATATATATGGTTATTTGTATGTATGTATGTATGTACCAAGAGTTCCTGTAAAACCACAACAAATTCCTTGTGTTTCCGCACACTTAAGTGGTGAATAAAGCTCATTCTGATTCTGATTCTAATATAATTAGCATACATGTTTCACTTTTTGTGAGAAGAAAGCACACCTACAACAACTTCTGAAAGTGAACAGCAGTGAGTGATTTTCTCTTTGTCTTTTGTTCATGGCCCCAAATATTGCAAGCCGTAGCGATATGCATATTGCATATGTACATTTGCGATATTTCGATATATTGCACAGCCCTAATATATATATATATAAAATGCCATTGCAACAGATAATAAATATAATGTGTCAAACAATCAGACAGGTTCAGCTAAATCTGATATGCACTTACATAAGGCTTCATTAATTCATAAACATAATAAGTGCTTCTTCATATCAAGCTATTTCAAACGTTATCATGAAACTAATGAGAACATATTTACAGGGATAATTATTTCAAAGTGATGGATCTGTGGTTTTATATTTTTAATTAGAGCCACACTAACATCTAATTGGTCAAAGCATCTGTACTTTCTTTTAATTATATGATTTTACCCTGTCAGGGACAGATGCACAGATTTAATAATTAATAATAATAATTTATGCATTTAATGCCATTGCAACAGATAATAAATATAATGTGTCAAACAATCAGACAGGTTCAGCTAAATCTGATATGCACTTACATAAGGCTTCATTAATTCATAAACATAATAAGTGCTTCTTCATATCAAGCTATTTCAAACGTTATCATGAAACTAATGAGAACATATTTACAGGGATAATTATTTCAAAGTGATGGATCTGTGGTTTTATATTTTTAATTAGAGCCACACTAACATCTAATTGGTCAAAGCATCTGTACTTTCTTTTAATTATATGATTTTACCCTGTCAGGGACAGATGCACAGATTTAATAATTAATAATAATAATTTATGCATTTAGCAGACGCTTTTATCCAAAGCGACTTACAGTGCATACAGGCTATATATTGTTTTACCAGTATGTGTGTTCCCTGGGAATCAAACCCACAACCTTTTGTGCTGTTAACACAATGCTCTACCAGTGAGCCACAGGAACACTTAAAAAAAATCACTCTAGAAAGATTTCGAAATCTAAATTTAGAGATCTATCGTTAATGGGTAACAGCTATCAAATTAAAATGTGCATGGGTTCACATTCTTTATGCTTGGCATTTTTGAAGTGCATTAACGGGATTTGGTTTAAATCATAATAATCTTTATCAGCTTTATTATTATTATTATTATTATTTTAGAAACTTTTTTTTGGTTAATATTACATTTTTACTAATTTCTAAAGAGTGGTTTACATTTCATAAAATGTTACATTTTGCCAGATTTACAGTATTTTGGGTTTGTGCCCAAGACATGATGTTAATTCAGAAACACTCAAAACGCACAAGGTCCCAAGTCCATACTTTTTGATCCCCGAAAAAAATGGTAAATGTCAATGTATTTTTTTTTAACAGTCCCTCATGTAAATACCATCTACAGTATATACATACACTATATATGCCAGTTCACTGTCCATTATGTGTACACTGCCCCCTAGTAATATTATTCTGACACTGCAGATTCACTACTCAACATTATATACATTATACCCTCAACATTATATACATTATAAGTAAAGTACATTCGTTCAAGCTTAATCTGTAAGGCTAAAACATTGCAGTTGCACCTTTTGACAGATGTAGTTTATTTCACTCACCATCTGACATTGATAATAACTACAGTACATCAGAGGAAAGATTTTGTACAGCATACTCAAAAGTTCCGACCAGAAAATGAAAAAGAACCAGTTGAGGCTTAATAAAAAGGTAAAACACAAATTAGACAGAGACACCGGTGCAAATATCATTGTACCATTCCAGTGCAGTTAGGTCTACAGTACGGTTGCATTGTGAGCTGTGACGTGTCATAGTTGCATTGGAAAGATTCGCACAAAAAGAGTCGAACTTTGGTCAACAAACATCAGAAAAGAGCTGACATCAATATAAACAAATAATTTAAGAGCATATCGGTTCAGTCCAGTCAACATGACGTTCACAAACACATGTGCTTCTTAAACGCACTGCTCATACGGCAGTCTGTGATGCCCAAAGCCCAGCTTCAGGAAGGTGCCACATCAACAACCACTTATTGACCTACAACATCCCCCTTTACGGTCAGCAACAGCTAAACAGGACACTTCAACACTGTACATGAGGAAATATACAGCAGTTACAACAGGAAGCTCTCCTCTGAATCGCTGCCAGAGTTTCGGGAAAGAAGCGTCACATTGGTAAAGGAAATTCTTGTAGGAAGCCAAAACCTTTACAGTGACCTTCTGTTCTCATCAGTGAATGCCGTCCTCTAAAGATCCTTTCACTTGCCAGATCTTCACTGTCCGGTCACTGTGAAAAAACAACGAGAGAACTCAAATGAACAATTTATACAGTTTCACTGCACACTATAAAGCAGTGTTAGCAACCGTTTTCTATATTTTCTGAAGAGTAGGTGAGTGACTGGCCGATAGCTGCCACAATGCTAGGCTGTTGTGATTCCTAAGTGGTTGCTAGGGTGATGCTACACAATTGCTAGGGTGTTCTGGTGGTTTTTAGCAAAAAATTGTTGTATTTGCCTTGGCGGTTATTGTTGTTAGATTGTTGTTGTGTGGTTAGAAATAGGTTCTGAGTGGTTGCCAAGGTGTTGCTAAGCAGTTTCTAGGGTGTACTTGTGGTTTTAGCACATTATGTATGTTATTTATTTATACAGTTACCAAGGTGTTGCTATCCATTTGTAAAAAGTTTGCTATGCAGTTACTATGGTGTTTTAATCATTGTTAGCACATTAGCTAGCTAATATACAAGTTACTAAAGCAATAAGCCCCAAGAAGCCGTGGTTTACAGTGAATTTATAACAGCTAAGGGGCGTTGTTAGGCACGACATGAAATGGAAACCCCCTTAGCTGTTATAAATTCACTGTAAACCACGGCTTCACTGGGCTTATTGCTTTTATAAAACGGTTATTCCATATACGTAGTTAGGTTTCACAAAATAAAACAGAGCAAATAAAGTGTAATGATATTAATAAAAACAGTATTCTTCCACCAAACAATGTAGTTCCTCAGAAACAGTTGTGGTTGCAACAAAGTGGTTGCCAAGCAACACACAAACGTAAACAAAGGTGTATGTTTGTAGAGTAATTTACAACAGCTTCGAACGCGGCTCAACCAATCAGAATCAAGGACCGGAACCATCCGTTTTATAAATAATGTATTGGCACTACTAGGAATTTCATGACAATGTAGCGACAATGTGCGATTGAATGTGCGTAATGTTGTCCGTATGATTTTGTAAGTTTATAAGATAACCAAGAACATTCCAGTTATGTACTATATTCAAAAAACCTTTGGTAATTTCATGACTTATTAACTTATGCATGTCCAGACAAAGAATAATAAGAATAATAAGTAAAAAAAATAAAATAATAATAATTCCAAAAATTTCACATTTCTGGTTGCCACAATCAAATTGATTATGTTGCCATACCAAAAGTTTGGTCATCGGGTTATGTTGCAGTTACGTATTATAGTTAGCTGGGTTGTAATATGGCTTTGTGAGAATTATAGGTGATTACCAGGGTGTTGCTATGCAGTGGCTAGAGTTTCAGGTTGGGTTGTTACCAAGGTATTGCTAAAGTTGTGTTGAGTGGTTGTTAGCGTGGGTTACTAAGGTATTGCTATGCAGTTGCTAAAATGTTCTGACAGTTTCACATTGTTATGTATTTGGCTGGGTTGTTAACATGGTGTTGCTATGCTTTTTCTAAGGTGTTTTGAGTGCATATTAGCATGCTATTATGATATTATTAGAGTGCTCTGGGTGGTTGTTGTTAGCGTGTTGTAAGTAGTTAACGTTGCTAGTTAGTTGCTTGTGATTTGTAGATAATTTATTTTGTTTGTTTTATTGTCTGAAAAGTTTTTAAAGTCTATTTGTTCGTAATTTGAGGTGTCATTCATGTTGTAGCACATAACAAAATAAGTTGTTGTTTAATACTATACTACATACAGCATCTAAGGCCCTGTCCACACGAACGCGGTTATTTTTAAAACCGTTGCTTTTTCTATGCGGTTTGGCCGTTCGTCCACAGGCAAATGCAGCACCAGGTTACTGAAACCGAACATTTTTGAAAATGCCTGCCAGGGTGAAGATTTTCAAAAAATTTTGGGCTTGTGACGTCGGAGCCTGCGCTGTTAACTCCGCCTACTGGAAACTTTTTCCGGCTCCTGATCTTTTGCGTTTTCATGTGGACTGAGATTTTTTTTTAAACGGAAGAAGGAAAAACTCCATTTATAAAAATACCCGTGTACGTGTGGACATGGCCTAAGACTGTAAGATCTGTTTATTTGTATTTTACATATATATATGTGTGTGTTCTTTGTTGGTGTCTGAATGGCTGTCACTCACTCTGAGGCGGTAAAGAGCTGACTGCTGTTTGTGCAGATGTCATTGACAGAGCTGTCATGACCCCTTATTTCTCCCAGAGCTCTAAGCGTGTCTGTGTGCCAGAATTTGAGCAATCCGCCCTTGCAGCCACTCATAACAGCGCTGGAGCCAGGGACCACCGCCAGAGAGCTCAGCAGATCTGAATGAGCCCGTTCTACCTGCTGCAATATGAAGAAAACATGCAAACAAATCAAGTACAGCAGGATAACTGAAGGTGTGAGGCTTTTCCTATATTCAGTCTTTATGTGTGATAGTTAAGAGTAATTTCTGGAAAAAAAGTCAACTCTGTTCCAAATACTAGTAAGCTGTTTACTGTCTGCAAATGGAAATATCTGAAATCCAAGGAACCTCTGTTTCAAACAACTGCTACTAAGATGAATGGAAAGGCTAACAAATAGCTTTCTCCAAGTATTAAATACTTCCTTGATTCGAATAGAGTTTGGCATTAGCATATTTGCTAAGCTAATTACTTAATGAAACACCAAGAAATTGGACTAATGACAATTGATTCCAAATGTATGCAGCATGTTATGCTAGGCTAACATCTTAATCTTCTCATAAGAGCAATTCACAGTTGATCATTTCCAACAGAGTTTTGTGTTAGCATGTGGCTAATCTGACACCTCGAGACTCCATAACCTTAACCATAAAAATGCACATCACACAAATATTCTGTAAAATAGCCAAATTTTAATGAGAATAACATTACCATTTTCTAAGAGTACGTTTTCAGTATTAAATGAAACAGAGGTATATTTATAACAATATTTTATCTTGATTCCATCATCTTGAATGCTAAGTACAAGGACTGATTATCTTCAAAGAATACATGCAATGTTGCCTTACACTTGAGTCACAACCAGATCTTAAAAGCAGGCACCGTAGTTCTGCTGCATACAAGTAGCTTTGGAAATGATGCCTAAATAAATGCTGCTTAGGTAGGCACCTCACTAGGATTTGGAACACAGCCAAAGCTTTTATCGCAATCCTGCCTTTCCTTGCAAAGGTACTTACCTCTTGTAGCTGTTTGTGGGTTAAGTCCCATTTTTTAATGCAGGAGCCTCTGGCAGCAGTAAAAAGTGTTTTGCCGTGAATGGCCAGAGCCTCCAGCCCATCCTGATGGGATGGGTCGAAATGATGTGTGGCGCTGATGCTGCCCTGAGCGCCTTCCACCACATCAAACATCTGCAACACAAGAAAAAAAAAGCCTTAGAGATGCATCACAAGTCATAAAGTTACAATTACATAATATTTCTACTTCAATTCGTTTTTTTAAATATAAACATAATGGTGGCTTTCATAAAAACTTGATGGATTTATTCAAACATAAATTAAACATTGAAGAACAGTAAAATGTATAATGAATATGTTATATGGTGCATATATTTAGCAAAATGCCCCTCTCTACAGTTTATTTTTCTATCTGACTAATGAATTTATGGTCACCAAATATGTTTGTTTCTGAGGTAAATGTGACGATACGTGACATTGTTTACAAACCGTTATATTGGTGTCTTTGTGCAGCTAAAACACTGACTGAGCGATTACATGAGACAGGATACGAATTGTAAAGTTGTACTCTTTCTTTTAACTTACCTTCGGATGTTTAGTCATGTTTATTTTGTGCTGAAACCGGTATTAATGTGGAGGAGATGATCAGTTCACGTGCGCCTCGCTCTGCCGCTTTTATTGAACTGAGGCGCACCGAGCTATAGCGATCTGTCACTCCACATTAAACAGGGTTAAGTCCCATTTTTTAATGCAGGAGTCCCTGGCAGCAGTAAAAAGTGCATCGCCGTGAATGGCCAGAGCCTCCAGCCCATCCTGATGGGATGGGTCGAAATGATGTGTGGCGCTGATGCTGCCCTGAGCGCCTTCCACCACATCAAACATCTGCAACACAAGAAAAAAAAAGCCTTAGAGATGCATCACAAGTCCCAAAAAGCATGTCTATCAGAGTCCGAAAGCATGTTCCTGGATAGCCATTTTGTTTCTTGTTGCACTTGAGGCCATATTAATAGTTTAAATTACTGTTTGTGTTCAAGCATCCATAAGAGCTTCAACAGCTTGTGTAATTGTGCATGAGCTATGACCAAAAGGTGAAAATTATCATATGGAAATCAGCATGTGCACCCATAGGGACTCTTACGTTAGTTCACAGAGAGTGTGTTATAATGTCCAAACATACCTTCACGGTGTGATCTTTTGAGCCTGTTATGACCACATCTTGACCCTTCCCTGCCAGATCTACCATAAGACACGTTACCGGCCCCAGATTTCCCGTCAGTTTCCCAGTAGATACAAACCTGTATACAACACAAACTAACTTTTACAAACACAAACTTTTAAAATTGGTACAGATAAAAGGCAACTTAAAAATGGTTACAGAGAAAAAGCTAGGCACTGGGCAACTGGTAGAGGACACACTACCCAACACAACAAAACTAGTCATGCATGTCAATTAGTAGGGCTGGGTTTTGACACAAATTTCACGATTCGATTCGATTCTCATTCACAAGCTTG